GTGTGTGTGTGTGTGTGTGTGTGTGTGTGTGTGTGTGTGTGTGTGTGTGTGCGTGTCTGTGTGGAAGAGGCGGGGGCTCCAATATGATTCTTTTTGCTTTTCGTGCGTCGGTGACTTTCTGAAGACTTACACCGAAGAAGATTTTGTTATCTTTTAGGGGGCTGCCCAATTTGTCACAGGCCAAGTTTGTCACAATTTTATTTAAGTATTTGAATATTAACGACAGTCATAATTACAGCACTTGACACTGTAGTTATAACTTACGTTTTTTATTCTCCACTTTCAAATTGGCGGTGTGGAGATATTCCCTCTATTGTCATTTCAGCTTGTGTTGTTCAATATTTCTTCCTGTCGTATGCAAATCAAAACACATTTAAATTACTTTGTAAAATTTCAACAACGAATGTTCTTTCGTTAAAAACTGAACAATAAAATTCAATTCATACAATCAATCAATTATTAATTTACTCCTTTTTGAGAGTGTCAGTGATAACTTCCATCATGCAGAGCGCAGTCGAGGCCTGTGACAAACTGGGCCTGTGACAAACTGGCCCTGTGACAAACTGGACCGGTGACAAACTGGCATGCTTCCGTTATTTTCACACAAGAGCATTTCGTGACAACGAAATATCCCAAATAGTTTAAATTTCATACAGCCATGGGTAACTTGGTACTATCGCAGACGACAGGATTTGCTACCTCAGAATAACTCAGTTCTATCTGCTTTTTTTTTTTTTGGTACTTTGTTTCAATTGGAGTGTTTCAAAGTTTTGTTTTGTTTCGTTTTTGGTTTCGTTTTGAGTTACTAAAACTGGTCGCTTTTAAGCACAAGAGGGCCATCCCAAAAAATACTGTTTTTGAGAAAATCGAAGGTAAAGTTTTTGGACTCTTCTTCAGTTTCTTTAAAAGATGAGGAGAGTTTTCTCTATAACCAAACAAATATACAAACCAATGAGACTAAACTTCTCCTATAAGTAGGACAATGCCCACTTTTGGTGTAGGTCAAGATTTCTGGAAACTCCCGAAATCTGGGTTAGTCAGCTTGTCCTTAAAAACCACCAACTATGAGGTCTGAAAGCAAATGTTGTGTATGCTCAATCAAAACCATACGATTATTCAGAGGCGTTGTCAAGATGTTCAAAGACTTTTTTTTTTAAAGTTTGACATATTATTATGAAACTCAAAACTTTGACGTCAGGTTTCTGCAAACAGTGCATTGAGCAGATAGAACTTTGTAATTCTGAGGTAGTGATGTTACACTCACTCGTGATCTTCCTCCCCCATCCCCTCCCCTCTAACAATACAAAACCGAACAAATCAAACAAACAAACAAAAATAAGTTAACTAACAAATAAGCGAACAAACTTAAAACAAAACAAAGCGAAAACTAAAACAAAAAACAAAAAAACAAAACCAACCTTCCACCCCCACCCCCACCCCCACCCCTCAAACACACACACATACACAGCACCTCCCTCATTCACAACAGCACTACCTACCCGTAGTGAATTACTACACAAGCAATCGTGCCATAGTAATAATTTTAAATTATTTTTAAAAAACCGACGACGAAAAGCTAACAGGGTTGGTAGAAATGAGAGACAGCTCGTCTGACCGGGACGGTCTACAGTTTAATTTTGTTCTCTGTTTAAATTTGTTCAGGATCAACTCATTGTTGACTGGTGTGAATCATTAACAGCTGACAACGTCCAGTGACGTTTCGAGCTAAATTCAGCTCTCATTCGTCCATTATATATAATGTGTGTTTGTGTGTGTGTATGTGTGTGTATGTGTGTGTATGTGTGTATATATGTGTGTGTGTGTGTGTGTGTGTGTGTGTGTGTGTGTGTGTGTGTGTGTAAGTGTGAGAGAGAGAAAGAGAGAGACAGAGAGAAAGAGAGAGAGAGAGAGAGAACGAGAGAGAGAGAGAGAGAGAGAGAGAGAGAGAGAGAGAGAGAGAGAGAGATGCTTTGCAGTTTCTCTTTAACGTTTATTTATGTTTTATTTAACATTTAATGACACTGACGGCTGCGACCTGTCTAAGAGAGAGAGAGAGAGAGAGAGAGAGAGAGAGAGAGAGAGAGAGAGAGAGAGGAGAGAGGAGAGAGAAAGAGAGAAAGAGAGACAGAGATACAGAGAGAGAGAACAAGAGAGAGAGAGAGAAAGAGAGAGAAAGAGAGAGAAAGAGAGAGAAAGAGAGACAGAGAGAGAGAGAGAGAGAAAGGGAGCGAAAGAGAGCGAAAGAGAGAGAAAGAGAGAATCGTTTTTCGTTTTCTCTTTAACGTTTATTTGTGTTTTATTTAACACTTTCATGACACTGACGGCAGTGACCTGTCTAAGACGGACACTTTCTTTCTTTGACAATTGATGAAAACCTTCCTAAACAATTAATTTGACTGCACTGCGGGTATGTATGCGCAGTCCTCTTCTTCTGCTCATGTAGATTTGTCATCCGTTGGGTTGCCTTTGACAGATGAGGACAAACCTCCCCCCTCCATTCTTCTGGGCTCTCTGCTTTCCTCGTTGTATCTCAAACCTTCGTGGCTGTTATTCTTGGATGTTATCCTCCCATCTCTTCTTCTGGCTGGCTTACTTACTTACTTACTTACTTACTTACTTACTTACTTACTTACTTACTTACTTATTCACTTACTTACTTATTCACTTACTTACTTACTCACTTACTTACTTACTCACTTATTTACTTGTTTACTTACTTACTTACTTATTTACTCACTCACTCTTTCTTTCTCTCTGACGTCAGCACAATGAAGGTCACAGTTTCCGCCTCTGTTCTGGCGTTTGCGTGTCTGGTCTGCTCGGTGACGTCACGATACACTAGCAGCATCGGCAGGTGAGACTCTTTGAACTACATGTAGATGTAACTCTTTGTTTTCGTTTCAGTTCAAACCATGACCAGACATTGAACACCCTGTTCCGCACGCAAAGCACTCGGCTTAATTAATTAACAATGATAAAAGTAACGGTTACTGATAGTAAATTAAATAATTAACAGTGATGAAAGTATGGGGTACTGATAGTAAATTAAATGATTCACAGTGATAAAAGTATGGGGTACTGATAGTAAATTAAATGATTCACAGTGATAAAAGTATGGGGTACTGATAGTAAATTAAATGATTCACAGTGATAAAAGTATGGGGTACTGATAGTAAATTAAATAATTAACAGTGATGAAAGTATGGGGTACTGATAGTAAATTAAATAATTAACAGTGATGAAAGTATGGGGTACTGATAGTAAATTAAATGATTCACAGTGATAAAAGTATGGGGTACTGATAGTAAATCAAATGATTCACAGTGATAAAAGTATGCCTACCAAAGCCCCCACTGCCTTGTGGGTTGTCTGTGGATGACAAAGGCAAGCAGAGAAAACTACGCAAACCGGCAGTAGGCAACGGGAAACCACTGCTGTAATATCCCAAGAATAGTCATGGAAAAGTACATTCATTTATCAGATAACAGCGTTAAGGGGGTTCATGATCCAGCTCTGACCTCGGGCAGCAGGTGGCGCCCGATCGTCACCCAGCTACTAACTGCAAAATTAAGAAACTTTACATAGCCACATGGAATGTAAGAAAAATGTACCAGAAAGGCAAATTAGATAATATAGAGCAGGAAATGGAAAGGATGAAGCTAAATATGTTGGGCCTTTCAGAAGTTAGATGGAAGGGGGCAGGCTTGATTAAAAGAGGATCTAAAACAATTATAATATATTCAGGAGGAAAAACCCATGAAAGAGGAGTCGGAATTTTATTTGACGAAGCAACAGCAAAGAGCATCAAAGGTTTTTGGGGAGTGTCAGATAGAGTCATAGTGGCTAAATTAGAGGGAAAACCTTTTGACATAGGTGTCATTCAAACATGTGCACCAACATCAGAGCACGACAACGAGGAAATTGAGACTTTTTATGAAGACCTTGGTAAGGAAATGAAACAGTTAACATCAATTGATGTAAAGATAGTCATGGGAGACTTTAATGCCAAAGTAGAAAGTACACGTATAGAATATATAGTTGGGCCATGGGGACTGGGTAATGAGAATGAATGCGGGGAACGACTGGTAGAAAGGTGCAGAGAGAATAATTTTATGATATCAAACACCTGGTATGAAAATCACCCAAGAAAAAGATACGCTTGGAAGAGTCCTGGCGATAGAAGTAGAAATCAAATAGACTTTCATACTTATTCAGAAACGTTTTAGGAACACAATAAAATCATCTAAATCAATGCCATGAGCTGACTGTGATAGTGACCATGTACCAGTCATGTGTAAAATGCGGATAAGACTAAAGAAGCTCAAAATGTCGAAGTATCAACCTAAATTTGACATAGGTCGTTTAAAGACAAATCAAAAACTGAAAGAACGTTTCTCCATAGATGTAAGAAATAAATTTCAAGCCTTGGAAAACATTACTAAATTGGAAGAACTATGGAGGACAATGAAAGACTCAATAATGGAAGCTGTGGATGAAAATAACCCCCCAAAGATAGAAAAGCTAATAAAAAATGGATGACTCAGGACATATTAAAACTAATGGAAGAGAGAAGCAAGGTAAAATCAAATGTGGAAAAGTACACCATCTTAAACAGGGAAATAAAGAAAAAATGCAA